AATAAATGAATAAACTCTTTAATAATATTCATCATTTTTAAAGTCAGAAGTTTTGTTCTATATTTAATATAAAATTATAGAAATGAGAATTATCAATGATACCAATATCATATATTTTTCTATTGAAAGAACATTTTTATGTCATTTGTTTCTTCAGCATAGCTCTACTCCTACATACTGAAAATATGAGTAGTGAATGTAAAATATCATACTACTGCCAAAATGAGCAAATAACGTGCATAAATTTACAATTTGTTGACGAACTGCTATGAAACTATCGTACAGAAGCTAAAGAATAAAAAAAATAAACTTATATATTTGTTTTCCTTCCAGCAGTAAAGCAACCAACTTTTGTATGGAAATAAAAAGAATCGACTTGGTTTTATTTTTCTATTTGATCTCTTCTTTTTCTACTTTTTTTTTCAGAAGTAATCGATTGAAAAGACTCAAGAAGCCATATTTCAAGAAGGATATATATATATGAATTACAATCAGACCAATAATCAACTATACTTGTCTGACATTTTTTTTTCTTTCTTTTCGTCGCATACTTATAAAGAACTATATATGACCAATTGATTCGTTTCATTTTTTTTTCTTCTCATACGAACAATTTATGATTAATCGTAGTAAAAAATAATTATTAGTGTTGACAACGCATCTTAGTCAGTCAAGTATTTTTTCATGTACTGCATTCATTATTTTTTACATAATAATTTAAGATTGAAAGACGAATCGGTGCGCTTTTATGACTGTTAACATTGTGAACTAAACGATGATTTTTGCTCCGCATTTTTTCTTACCAAAAAAAAAAAATAAACTTTTGATCTTCAAATAAGCCACGTTGTCCTAAATAGAATTTCTATGTCTATTAAATTGCAAGGTGATTAATTCAATTATACAATTTATACAAAGGAGAAATGATTTTAGAAAATGTTGACTGATACTACATGAAATTTTCATTAACTTACGGTGCAAAAGTGATTGTTGAAATGTCTAAACATGGTTCTCTACTGAGGAACATCGTCGAGAACCAATTTTATTTCATTTAAAAGAGTATGTTCCAAAGTATGAATAACAAATGTCAACAAATAGAATATAAAGTATTATGCCACATATAGCGTAATTACTTTCGAGGTCTGTTCCCCAATTTGACTGTTTTTCGCGGAATTATCGATGATTATTTATAACGGCAGAGCCAGAACACTAATGCCTGTTTAAAAAAATAATGACCATGGATATTTTTTCAATAATTCAAGATCGGAAAGAACGATAGAGCTGTGGTTCTCACCAGTCAAGAGAGGAGACATCGGGATGTCTTTTTCCCCAATATTATAAAAGATGAAATCATTTTAAAATCAATCACTTCTGCAAAACATTGCAAAAAAATGCATGAAAACGGTCTGCCAGTCTGGTAACATTTTGGTTTTGATCTGTAAGTTAGATGGAGAGACTGCAGATCTATAGTTTAAGATATAATTCGAATGATTATCTTCAAATATCCTAATGTTAAGCCAATAAAATGATTTATTTAGTCCCTCGTAAAATATGGATTTCTCATAGTCTCTAAGCAAATTTTCTTACTTTTTGTCAAAATTTAATCTGAACGACAGATCATTTTTGTACATTTTTTCGGTGTGTTATAAAAGTGGTTGATTTGAAAATAATTTCGTCTGATATAATCTTAGAGAAAAAGACGTTCCAATGTCTCTTCTTTTGTCTGGTGAAAACAAAAGCTCTGTAGCTCTTTCCATTCTTGAATTATTGAAAAAATACTCACAGTCATTATTTTTTGAAAGGGCATTAGTGCTCCTCGTGTTTTAGATGGGCAGTACGCTGTAAAAAAAAAGCTGCCATACTGAATGTTAAACGGTTCTAAGTTTGGATATCATTTTAAGAACCTTTTAAGATTCGAGCACAATCTGATTCTATATCGAACCTTTTTTGTCTTCTTTCAAAAATGGTTCTAGTCTGCTTAAAAGCAGTTCATTCAACACACTTAGTCTAGTACCACTAATTAATTCTATATCTAACACCTTATTTCTATCCTTAGCCCCTTAGTTCTATATCGTACTGCTATTTTTCTTTATCTAATGCATATTTCTATATTCAACTCGTATATCTATATCAAAACTCTTATATTAAAGTAATCTGAGCGCGATGAACGCCAAGTGAGGTGAAAAGGAAGATGTTTCGATAGTTTAAATCTGCTTACTAAAGAAACATTCTATCATATGAAAAGATTTAGCAAGCTTTCAGGTTAATGTGCTCAAACAATCAACGTCTCAAAAACTGTCGTGAAGCCATGATTGTAGTGATTCATGAAATTCAAACAGACATAGCTATTAGTGGACAGAACCTCTGATTCTTCTGGGAAAACGCTGAAATCTCAAAGTTTTGGCGAAGAAATTTTGATGGCGATATAATAGATAGTTTTCATAGTGTGCTCAAATGTAGCTATGCATGGAAAAATATAAAGTATAAATGCACTAATGAAGTATGCCAACGTGATTGCAAGATAAAAGGTACAAAGATGAAAATAGGAACGATTCAGGTTGGTCGTGTTTTTGATTAATGAACAGCGATCTCTCTATGGAGAGCCTGAAAGAAAAATAGTTTAGTACAAAACTTCCTAATCACAGTACTTTGAAGAGATTCATTACGAAGCTTTTTTTATTGCAAAATCTGGAAGAGCTTTCATACGAAACCTATAAGATTATGTAACTTTTAATGAGGATTCCCTGATTTGTACGATGTTGCAAAGATATAGTAAAGTTCGACGAAACCCAGAGAATCGGTGAAGTACTTTTTATTTTCACTGCAGTTCAGGCGACTTGTGCTAGAACCATCTTTGCAAAAGAAGTTCAGCATAAAAAAAATGGCGCGAGATAAAATTCTTCTAAACCTCTGGAACCATTTTTTATCTGTCATGTTTCTTTACAAAAAAAATGGTGTAAGATAGAACTCTTCTAAATCTCTGAAACAATTTTTTATTTGGCATGCTTCTTTAAATTATCTAGAACCTTTTGATGATTTATTAATAAACGAATGAAAACTTAAGTGGTTCAGAATCTTCGCTAAAACTCTTAATGGTTCCCTATGATTTCTTTTTTTTTTTAGAGAGCAGACATTATTGAAATATACTAGTACATCTCTACAATTATTCTTTTGTCACCTACTTTTTTTTATCGAAGAAGTTAAAAGAAGTACGAATGATTTGCCTAGCAAAGAATGATACCGTATGTCTGCTAGACTGAAGAAAGCTTATCTTGCTTTTTGATTCTTTTCTCAAGTACAAGAAAGATGTGTTCTCAATCGTGTTCTTTAAGTTTTAGAGATAGAAGTGTTCTATTCGATGATTAATTAGAATTTTAAGCAGATCATCGTCTAAAGACACATGAGCTTCTGTTAATCGGGAACAAGTAGTATCCTTTTCTATGTCGAATGATTCGCTAATAGTATTTGTCTCCGTCGATTCTTAATCGACGTTTGATCAACTATATTTTGAGACTATCTGAATAACATGTTTCGAGTAAACATTCCGCTAATATACCTAAACTGAATTTGGGCATGGTTAGAATTTTTCGTAGAATAATAGAGATAGAAGATAAATGATCGATGTAGTTCTCTATAAAGCATGGTGATCTACAAGGTTCAATTTTCGCATCAACACTTGTTATCACTTACCATAATGGCATGGTCGACTTTCTACCTATGATAATGCCGTTCTTCTTCGTAGATGGTCTTATTGCTGTCATTGCTGGATAGATTAGAGTTCAATTTACAAATAAACATTTAGATTTCGAGCATCTGAGATTTCACTTGATATTGGTGGTGTAACCCATCACCTACTCAAAGACATATTCTATGTTCTCTACCTGCACGATCAACTAGTCGAGTTCAGTACGAGTACTTCAATGTGCAAGGTTCACAATTAAACGGACTTCATCGTTTAAGTATCTACAGTATTAACTAGTAAGTAAGTTAGGATGAGAGAACATTGTCGAAGACGCTCTTCTTCGAATCCACCAATAAAAGATTTAGTCAACTCCATACTGTTTAATGGCACTTCTTCAACAACACTACGCAGTGTCTATTCGCTCTTTACTCATTATCTGTCAGTTGCTAACTGTTCAAACTTTATCACTTCCACTTCACGTATCTTAAATGAGTATTGCGCTACAATTATATGAATGATTTATTCTTCTCCAGTCTACTTCCCCTAGCAAAATCTCCGGAGATTTCCTAAGAAGCCAAACATAAAGCGAGGAAATCTGTACCGAAATCTCAGTCGGAAATCCTAAAAAGTCAAGCAAAACATGAAAAATCTCTGGAGAAATTCCTGAGAAGTCCCTGAAGAATCCCTAGCGATTTCTGAGATGATCGTTCAGAGAGTCCTCATGGATTTCCCCAGAGATTTCCTCATATTTTGCTTGACTTCTCAGAACTCCCAACTGGGCTTTCGGGACAGATTTCTCGTTGTTTGTCTGACTTCGTGGGAACTTCCACCAGGGACTCCCGGGAATTTCGTCCATCTGTCGGGACTCCCTAAGGATTTTTCTAGGGAAACTGGACTAGGATTTGTGTCTATTAATGATGAACACTCGCTGAATATTTTATAATGCTCTATCTATTGAGAAAAAATATCATAGAACATTGATTAAATCACTTGATGGCATCTTTTATTAGGACAATTGTAATTAAATGTCTATAGAACTCTATGTCAGCATGGTGATTCAATTATCCGATGAAATAATGAATTTTCGTTGTATGACTAGGTAAAAATAAATCTCTATATTTTTCAGAATAGTCTGAAAGTCTTCTGCTATAGTAATATCCTTTTTGTTTTGTTGGTCTTTATCATTACTAACTTCGGTCTCTTTGACTGCTAGTTATACATCCCTTTAGAATCAATAGAATCAGAGAATTCAATGGCGTAATTAAAAAATTAAGAATGATAAGATGCATTTTTTTTATTCAAACAAACTTATTTACATTTATCATTGGTCATTATCATCAGGATAGGCGCGATGATATATGTTTATTGCTGACAAATCAACAAATGAATTACGTGGTGAATCACTTTTACAACTTTTCAATAGTGCGGCTGTTCTGTTAATATTTTGATCATCTCGCTCGGGCTCTGGTGTTTCTTCTCGCATATCTGTGAGTTGCATGTCAGTGTAGTCTCTGGCACGCATTTTTTCACCCATGTGTTCTTTTCGAGCAATAATATACAAAATTATAATCCAAACACCTTCTAATCCATTAAAAATAACAAAAAACCATCCTAATACTTCACCAGCTTTCGGATCAGCAATTAATATCAATGGACCAAAAAGCCAACCAAGACCTTGAGTAACACAAGATGTTAATACTACGATTAGACAATATTTTTTTCTGGTATGTTCAGAAGTGCTTTCTTCAGCTCTGTTAATATGAGCAATCATACGTTTAGTGACCCAAATAATCAAAATTATACTTATTAGAAGAAATATACATATTGGTATAGTTAAAAAATAATGAATAACTCTACGATTAAACCAACAAAGTTTACCTACATATATCTCAGATATTTCATTGGAAGGATTATAATTAAGTCCGGCGGCAATAACCATATATATTATACCAATAAGAAAAGAAATACCAATAGTAATAACAAGACTTCGAACTGATGGTGGAGGATTTAATTGAACATAATAACGATAATTATAATAACCAAAACTAGTTTTTACACCAAACATAAAAATAATAAAGAAAAAAACAATAAACATTAATGCATGTTCATTTGGTAAACATGGAATATGAGATGGAGATGAATTGTCAGACGAAGAATCAACTCGTGAATTTAATTTAGTTTCTAATAAACTTATTTCATTGGAATTTTCTTGAAAACTTCGTCCTTGATTAGGAAAATTTCCATTAGTAACATTCGATTGTGAAAATCTTGAATAAACTGTTAAACCAAGTGCTATATAAAAAATAAAAAGTATCATTGTAACTATACATGATATCAATGGAAGTAATAATTTTAGTTTAATAAATTTCTGTGGTTTAATAAATTGAATAGCAATACCATGCATAACAACTAGTATGAAACAAAAAATTGAAATAATTTGAAATGCAATTGATGCTTTATCTTGATTATTATATATTGCTCGTGGAATACCTTGTGATGATCCTAAAGATTTCGGTAACCATATAAGAGCAAAAGATGTTAAATGATTACATTGGCATTCATATCGATCAAATGTTCTATTATATCGAGGTACAGTACAACCAAATTCATTCCATTTTAAAGTATTTGTATCATAAAATGTACACAAATATGTTACATCCTCAGTTGGTTTAGGTGGTTTTAAAACTTGAAAATATAAAGTAATAGTTATATTTGTACGATTCAAATATGCTCCATTTATTGTAGCAAAAATAATTGATGATGAAAGTGTTTTATTACTTGAATTATCTGCATTTTCAAATGCAGTTGAATCATATATAATAATCATATTGAAAGATTTGACCTCATTTAATGACTCAAGAGTAATAATACCAGCAGCTGATAAATTTGAATTGGTTACATTATCTTTATTATCGATATAAATAGTTGTACCACCAATATTTTTTTGAAATGAAGCACCTATTTTATTTTCTCCATCAGGTTTTAAATTTGGTCTTGTCATGATAAAAATTGTATCATTAGTATTTACTGTATAATTATCATTAGTTAAATTACCAACTATTTGATCAATTTGAGCAATTGTTAAAATATTACTAGAATTTGATGTTACGTTTGAGTTACTAATTGAAGTTACATATATTGCAAGAGCATCGGCTTTTTCAGTGTCATTAGAAGAATTACTGTATATTGTAAGGATGGCAGATGTCTAGAATGGAAAATACAAATAATAATAATAATAATAATACAACACTAATTGAAGAGTAATTTATCTTACTTGTGCAAACTCTCTTGTAACACAAGTACCATTAGTCCATATCATATGAGTTGTATTAACACAAAAGTTAAAAACTGAAATAGAAGTGGATTGTGTAGTACTAGTGGTTGTTATTGAGGTTATAGTTTGAATAGTTCCAGTGGTCGTTACTTTCAAAAGAAAAAGAGAAATTAATTAATGAAAAATAATTTCGAAGAAATAAATACCAGTATAATAGTCTATTATAATATATGTTCCATTAGTAAATAAATTCGTGGTAATATTTGAAGTTGAACTAGCATTTGTAATTCGGCTTGTTTGAACAGTAGATAAAGAAGTTGCAATCGTAGGAACTTTGTAGAAAAGAAAGAGATAGAATAAAAAAATATCATAAGAAATGAATATCTGCAGAATCAAAATTAGTTATTATATATATTTCACTTGAGTTTGATATATTTAATGCTCGAGCATTTCTTCTAGGCAAAGTACCTGCAATATAATATATATATACATAGAACATTTGAATCTTCACTGGACTTAATAGTGATGTTTGATATTGTATACGAGTTTCAAACTACTTTCTTGTCTTGTATTATTTTTCAATTTGTATCATGTTATCAATAAACATTAATTCAATTATATACTATTTTTTTTTCAATAACAGTTCGTAGAACTAACATTTTTATATACAGAATGTCCTTTTCGAAAGTTTTTTTTTTCGTATATCTTTACTAGTCGATTCAATTTTATCAATTAATATTTGAACTCAACATGATCCGTGAGACATTTCGAAATTTCAATACAATCAACAAAACATACTATCAAGCAAACTGATTGTTGGGTAATTTATTGATGATCCAACGGTTGATCAACAAAACAACTTTCAGGTACTCGAAAGCTTGTTTTATTTGATTTTATAAAAAAAAAGAAATTACTAAAAAATGTTATTTTCTAGCAAAATAGAGCATTAGTACATTGCTTGAAGATAGTACACTTTTAGTTGATCGATAAGTTTGATGATTAGTAGTTTAGAAAAGATAGACCATTCTCATGAGCTTCACTGTCACTAAATTTAATACTATTGAATTTCTTTTTATGAGACTATATTAAAACAAATGTCTATAAAATGACTATTAAAAATCAGAATAGTTCAAGAAATCGATATAATTAAAAACGAATCGTTATAAAATGCATTTCTACATATGAAAAATAGCCTACATTTTTTTGTTTTAGCTAGACGTGATAGCTTGAAATGGGGCTTTTGAAGTTTGTATGTATAAATAAAAACTTAATGTATGAATCAATCATCTAGTTAGATCGAATAGTAAAGATAAACAAGAAGAATTTTCGAACACACTGCAGTGATCATCTTTTGTTTGAAACTTAAGATTTAATGTCAAATAGAGTAGAGGCCATGTCCTAACCTTATCCTATGTCATGAAGTTTATCTCTCCTATTGAGAAACGATAGAATGGTTGCGAGTGCAAATGATTTGATAGTAAGTGGGCTTATTTACAAACTTTGCATTTGAAAATAGATCCTACTAGAAAGGTCTCTTAACTAGCGACCATGAAAGCTTTTTCCTTTTGCTTCTTTTTTGTTGCAGGCAAGATAAAAAACATGCATGAATTTCGAATGAATTAGTTAACAAGAAGTTTGAGGCATCTGTAGCTACTACTAGCCTTGTTTTCAGACAAAATCTATTAAATATACAAATTGCTACCGCTGAGACTCAGCAAGTAGTAACGCTATGAACTAAATTTTTGTTACCATGATCTCTACAAATATTTTCTACTCATTTTCAATTATGAAGATCGAGAAATTCTCAAAAACATCTGAAAATTATCACATGTCATAGTCATTCTCTACGTCTCGACTTTTAATTTTAGCTATTAACTAAACGACAGGAAATAATGTAGAGTGCCTTGTCAACTTTCAGTGACATACTCATTTCACATAATTCATTATTACTGATGGTCAAAGCTCATAGAACCAAGCTTTCAAGTAAAATATAAATAAACAATACCAAATAATAAAATTTTCTATAGAATTAGCTCGACCTTGAAATCATGGCTGGTAGTATAGGTGATCAAACAGACAATTCATGAAGGATTCGAAGCTGATAGATGTGATGTGAGTATGTAATGAGTTCGCACATTATCAATTTATAATGTTGCATTTCACATTTCCTACATATCTTGAATGAACTTCAGCATAACCTATAAATTAACCTTCTCAGTCCTGCGTATAATCCATTGAACTCAAGATAAGCGAATATTAGTTTGACTCATCGATTGATCAATTTTATTTAATCTAGCTAATATTCACGAAGTATTGATCAACAATTCAGCGAACGAATGCCAAAGAAAAAGAAAATATATATATATATATATATGAATAGCTTATGAAACAAAGACACTTACTCATAGGATCATTAGTAACCACTGTTGGATCACCTAGAGCTCGTCTAATTCTATGTCTATTATCAATGTATTTGATGAAATTTTCAAAAGTCATTTTCTTCGTTATGTTCAGATCATTATCATCATCATACATAAATTCAAAATCACCATACGAATATATTGTCAATGTATAAAGACCAAAGATTAATAAACAAATAAACAAATGTCTACTAATAGTATTCTTCATAGTAATTTTCTACTGAATTATTTATATATCTAAAAATATAATTCTTTATACAATTATGAAAATATTGAGCACATTATATTATGTGAAACAAAAGTGATCAAAGCCTTCAATGATCATCAGTGGCATATTGACAATATTTTGTAATTCGAATGTAGATAGTATATATGTTCGAATGGAAAATCTATGTTTTAGTTTCGAAAATTGTTGCACTAAATCAACATGTCGAAAAACATAAAGCCAAAAAAAACTGAATGATTCCTGGCATGAAAACAGTATTAATCTATGCAGCACTTTTAAGAGCATAATTTGCGTTGTTTTTTCTACAAGTAGAAAAAAAGGGGGAAGGGCAAGTGAAAAAAGAAAATATTGGTTGTTGTGACTTATGTATTTTAAAAACCCTTTACTGGTTCTGAAAAAATGTATGAACAAATAAGAAAAATTGTGTGGCATATAAGAAATAAGTTCTCGTAAAAAAATTAACGCGATGTGCCTCAATAGAAAGGAAAGAAAGTCAATCGAATTTTTTTTTTCTTTTCGAATTAAATAAAACAAACAGAAGAATACGAACATAAAAAATATAACGAATAATATCCATTCTATTTTTACTCATATTCATCAAACCCTTTTTTATATCACAAAAAAATATTTTATATTTAATAAAAAATTTTGTCTGAATAATTTCTTTATTTTATTACTCATGGAATTGTCAATATAAACTTACCCCCAAATAACTTTTCACTATTGAACAACTCACATCAATTCATATTTTATGTTCTGTTAAATTGGTGACAGTACGAAAAACGAACGAAGAGTTATGCAAGCAATTATATATATATAATCATTGACGCTAATTGTTAATCGACAAAAATATTCGTAATGTAATTTATTCATTCGTTGTTAATACTCTAGCCATTCTTGTTTTTTTCTCTTCTTATGAATGCAGTGCGACTGTTAAAAAATAATAATACTTTATAAGACTTTTATGATGAATTTTTATTGTTTTCGTTTTGCTCTTTCTCTTCCGTTTTTCTCTCTAGGCCAACATTATTAAAAAAACAACAATTATTAAATTTGTTGTTTTTTGCAGTACTGTCAAATCCGAAGATTAAATTCGATTATTGAAAAACCTTTTCAGATATTCAACTATTCGATATTTGAGGTAAAGATATTCAACCATTCAATAATAGAACATTTAAATTCAACTTTCAAGTTCGACATGTACGTCCTCTCGCAGCAGCAACACCAACTGTTATGCCGTATGTGTATTGTCTCGTGTGTCCGTCTATTCACAACACCAATACAAGATGCAATGCCGTGTGTGTGTCTTCGCGGTAACCACATCCAGCTACTATCGGAATTTTAAAAGAAGGCACCTGGAAAAAAAGCTTATAACTTTCGAACGAAAAGTCATAGCGACCTGTGGTTTTCAGCAATCGATAGAAGATTATAGAGGGCACATTTTTATATAAAAATCAAGGTTTAAATAATCAGTGATTATTCAATCACTGAAAGAGTAGGCTCGTTATTTGGTGAAATCTCAGTAGAACAAGCTGAAACTTTCAGCATATATAGCCCCACTGTACTCCAATCTTCGCTGAAAATATCATCGATAAATCTTGTAATGACGAGGA